CCATTGCCAGCAGAGTCGGTCGTATCGGGCTGTACACTGTGCAGGTCGCAGTATCGTGCGCGATGTAGGATACGATGGTGTATCGGACTCGGTTGTAAGGTCGGTCCTCAAACTTGTTCACGATCGTCGCGTCTCGACCGAGCCTGGCCGCTCGCTCGATTGAGTCCAGGGCCGTCGTATTGCGGGATTCGGAGATGTAGAGCTTGCAGCAGATTAGCTTGGAGTATTTCTTCTTTGCAGTCTTTCTCTTCTGAAAGGAAATTTATTTTTGATTACATGCATGCGATAACACAATAGTTATGGTTGAAAATCTTAAATATTCTTCACTTTCACAAAAAAAAAGTAGGAATTGCTGACTAGCTAGAGGAGGCTGCAAGAAAATTTTAATAAATCACGGTGCTTATAATAATTAATTAGGGAGTGTAATTAGTTTGAGGTGCTAGGGATAAGTTTGGCAAACCCATCTTAATTAAACAGGATTTTGAGACCAAACTAAACTAGTTTAAGAGCCAAATTTTAAACTAAGAAGAAAATTTCGCCAATCTGGTAAGTGAGAGAGTTGCCAAACAAACACTAAAATTTGGATGTTATTTTAGTTTGATAAATGTAAAGAATAGAGAATTATAGACTCTTCCCAAGTATATACAGAGGGGAGTAGAATTGTTTGCTTTGGTTGTTTGTTTTCACGGATTTCTTAGAAATCTAGCTAGAGATCGAAAATATGGGTTCCTTCAGTTGTTTTAGAAAAAAAAAATCTGATAATCTAATTATAAAGCTATTTGTTTTAAATGGAAAGAGGGATGGAGAAAAGAAATGAAATTTATTAAATATTTACAAATTTAAACATTAAAAATTTATTAAATATTTGGTTTTTTGGATCTCGGCCATTTCTCCTAAAACCTTGGAATATTGATGAAGATTTTGATAAAACCAAGAATAACACTTATCCTATGTGGATTCAATTACCTAGACTGAAATTGAACTTATGGAATGAAAAGAATATTAGCAAAATTATGAGTATCATAGGTAAGCCAATTACCACAGATACACTCACAGCAAATAGGCAAATACTAGCCTATGCTAGAGTTCTTGTTGAAGTGCAAATGCCCTCACCCTTACCTGACCAAATAGCAATTCAGGGGCAAAATGGGAAAAAAATTTCTCAGAAAGTTAACTATGAATTTAAACCAAGATGGTGTGATTATTGTAAGGTGGTGGGACATGATTCAACATATTGTAAGAGACAACCTAGAATCCAGAAATGGATACCAAAACAAAAATTAAATGTCCCTAATATTTCTGATGCCAATGTTGATTCAAGAGGTTCTGGAAAGCAGGGAGGTAATATGTAGGTTGTGCATGGTAACCAGGCTGAACTCAATCTGGTAATGTAGAAGGACAACACCCAAACATCAGTAGCTAGTAGAGAGCACAACCAAGGAAATTTAGGGGATCAAAGGAATCTGGCACCGGAAGTACATAGTTAGGAGACTCAAGCCGTGCATGGTGCACACAGTCACCTTAGGGATCAAGTCCAGTTTCATGATACACTTTTTGCATCTGGGGAAAAGCTCTCTGGGGTCAGTAATAAGGGGCATATTTTTGCTGGAGAATGTAGTAAAAGTCCTATGCCTGAGAAACCAGATTTGTCATGATAAGAGCTTTGATTTTGACTTGAATTCCTTAACAACGATGCTTAGTGCGCGACTGCTGTTGTTTGTTTTAGGTGGGAAAAGAGATTTTGCATGTGGTACATGTCCTGAATCCAGAATCTGATACTGGACATATCCATAACTTTTCCCATGGAAATAAGTCCTGGTCTCTTGTTCAAAAGAAAAGAACTAAGGAGCTTTTTAATTCTAAGAACTCCTTTTCATCCTTGGAAAATTTTGTTATTGACCCTTCTACAATTGATAGAGGGGGTGGGTCTATATGAATCTCTCTTTTTGGAATGTAAGAGGACTAAATAAGTCCTCTAAATAACAGTTGGTTAGGCACCACCTGTTACAATATAATATATCCTTTGTGGCTCTTCTTGAAACTAAGATAAGGGAATCTTCACTACCTATTACAACTAAGAAAATTGAAAAAAAAACTGAAACTGGTTCTCAAATGTTAGACCCCCTGCAAAAACCAAAATTCTTATCATGTGGGATACTAAAATTTTGGATATTCAGATTATAAGCTCCACTGATCAGCAGATTACATGCAAGGTTAAATCTATGGATGGAAGACTAGAATGTGTCATTTCCTCAATTTATGGTTTTAATCTTTTGGATGAAAGGATGGTATTATGGGATGAACTTATGCAGATTAATCAGAGCATTGGTATGATGCCATGGCTACTCTGTGGGGATTTTAATACAGTGATTAATAATGATGAAAAGCTTGGAGGGACAAGATTATCATAGGCAGATACATGTGATTTTAATAATTTCATTTCAGATTGTCATCTTACTCATCTGAAGACTCTGGGATGTTTTTATACATGGAATAACAAGCAATGCTCTGAAAATAGAGTGTGGAGTAGATTAGACAGGGCCCTTGTTAATGATTCCTGGATTCACTTGCTCAACACAAGCCATGTGGAATATCTTCTCCCTAGTTTTTCAGACCACTCACCAGCTCTAGTATCAATATATGAAGATATTTCTTAAGGGAAAAAGCCTTTTAAGTTCTTTAAAATGTGGACAAAGCATCCCAGCTTCACTTCTACAGTCACTGATGTTTGGCAAAAAACTATTGAAGGGTACACCATGTTTTCAGTCTATTCAAAGTTGAAAATGCTGAGAGTAGCTCTTAAAGGACTGAATAAAAACATTTTTATAATATTAGTGAGCAAGTCCTAAGGGTCAAAAATGATCTAGAGCTTGTTTAAGATAGATTACAAGCTTGCCCTCTTGATTCCTCTCTCATAAGTCAGGAGAAAGAATGCATCTCAAAGTACAACAAACTTATGGACTGTGAATTGTCTTTTTATCAACAAAAGGCCATAATTACTTGGTGTTTGCAAGGAGATAGGTGCACAAGGTTTTTCCATGACATAGCAAAAACAAACAAACATAATAACAGAAATTGCAGTCCTTTACAACAACAGAGGAGACAAAATTATTCATGGGGATGGAATTACTAATGAGTTGATTTCTTTTTACAAAAATCTTATGGGCACAGCTGTAGACACTTCTCCTCTGGATATAAATATAGTAAAATCTGGACCTTGTCTGAGTATTGATCAAGCAAATGAGTTGTCTTGCCCAGTCACAAATGCTGAAATCAAAACTGTAATTTTCTCAATGCAGGATGATAAGTCACTAGGACCAGATGGTTTTAGTGTGTCTTTCTTCAAATCTTCCTGGGAAATTATTAGTGATGAGCTTTCATTGGCAATTAAAGACTTCTTCAGGACTGGGAAACTCTTGGGTATTGTGAATTCCACTTCTATAACTCTCATACCCAAAGTTCAATGTCCAAAAACATGCTCAGATTTCAGGCCTATCTCCTGTTGTAACTGCATATACAAGTTCATCACAAAAATTCTAGCCAACAGGATTAAGAAAGTTCTGGGGTTTTTAGTGAATGAAGCTTAATGTGCATTTGTAAAAGGGAGGCTGATTCAAAGTAACATTTTGTTAGCCCATGAATTGGTAAAAAACTATGGCAGGAAGAATCTCACTCCTAGGGTTATGATAAATGTTGACATCAAGAAGGCCTTTGACACAATAAGTTGGAAATTCCTGTCTCACTCCTAGGGTTATGATAAATGTTGACATCAAGAAGGCCTTTGACACAATAAGTTGGAAATTCCTGTCAGATATGCTCAAAGGACTGGGCTGTTGACATCAAGAAGGCCTTTGACACAATAAGTTGGAAATTCCTGTCAGATATGCTCAAAGGACTGGGCTTTCCTATTACAATGATTAATTGGATATTGGTATGTATAACCTCCCCTAAGTATTCAATCTCTCTAAATGGTTCACTCCATGGTTATTTCAAGGGAGAACGTAGCCTTAGACAAGGCGATACCCTCTCCCCATATTTGTTCATTCTGTGTATGGAATATTTGTCAAGGAGCCTGAATCTTCTGGAACATGATAAATCTTTCAAATACCATCCTAAGTGTGCAAAGTTAAAAATAACTCACCTTATCTTTGCTGATGATTCACTCTTATTCTCCAGGGGAGATCTAAATTCAGTATCTAAACTACATCAGTGCATGAGGAATTTCAGTGAAGCTTCAGGTTTAGAATCTAACCCAGATAAAAGCTCTATTTTCTATGGAGGGGTTGATGAAAATGTTAAAGCTTCAATTTACAATATGCTGGGATTCTCTTCTGGAACATTGCCTATCAAGTATTTAGGAGTGCCTTTAGTTTCAAAAAGATTAGCTTACATGGACTGCAACCCTCTTTTCACCAAGATTACTGGTCAATTCAAGAACTGGTTGAATAATAGGAATCTCTCTTATGCAGGCAGAATGCAA